GCACATAGACTAGTGATTTAAAAACGTTGGGTCGGCACATAATTGCTCGGTCTAATCTGGGAATCGGTCATCCCATATCGATTATGTCAATATTGAGCAAATCATTTGGGTGTAGAAGAAAACCGTCGATTTACTACAATAAAATGGCGTGTTGCTATAGTAAAAATATTGATTCATCAATTCAAATCGGTTTTTGGCCGATTCACTTTTTTTGCATGTGTTTTTTTGCTAATTCACTTTTTTTTCTACACCGTCAAACAGTGATCCGAACTGCCAATTTATTGATCCAGACTGGTTTGTGTGATGCCCGATCCCGGTCATTGATCTGTTTTTTAAATCATTGACATAAACAAAGGCATTAAAAAAAAGAAAAAGTTTATATAAGGTTGCAACCTTAAGACGTAGAAATAAGGATGCACCTCAAAAATCCATCGGAGAAGGTTGGTTTAATATTGAAAAACCTCATCTTGACATAGAGATGTATGAATATGATAAAAAAAAAGATTTTGAATCTTAAAAATAGTGCATCTTACAACACATTATCTAGACCGTCCATTTTAAATATTTTCATATGTTTATAGATCTACTTGATTTTAACCATTTTTTGAATTTAAAGTTTTATAATTGGATATGAAAATAGATTTTTAGATAATTTTAATAATTTCTTACAACAAAATTACATGTTATGATAAAATTTGGAGGTCTACCTTAATTGGATTGTTTAAGGTTTCACCCTTATACAGAGGCGAATGCCTTGGCATATTTTCTTGTCAAATGTGGTACTACTCTTTCTGATGTATCCGTTTCGGAATCTGTAATTTCATTCTAAAAAAATTAGTGAACTTTCTATTAAAATAAAATAAATTCACCCTTACAATCTGTAATTTCATTCTAAAAAAATTAGTGAACTTTCTATTAAAATAAAATAAATTCACCCTTACATAAACCACATCAAAAGAGGCTAGGCCTATTAGCTCGTTGCAAGTAGACAAAACAAAAGAAAATTGAAAATAAAATTAATCATATATCATGAATACGACTTTATTGCGGACACATACTTCGAGACTCATGAAGCAACTCCTTACCCTTTATAGAATCCCTTATAAAATCGGTGTTAGTTTTGATGGGTGGTTCAAAACAACTTTGGCTTTTATATTTTTACCATTTATTTTGTGAAAATTGCCATGGTTTTTTGAAAAAAAATTGCCCTGTTATTTGAAAGTACGACTGTTTCAGAAAAGGGTGCGGGTTTGTACAATGCTGAGGTCGTAAAGCACACCTTCAAACAATGTGGAAAGATGTCGTTTCAGTACCAAAAATATTTGTGATAGTTTGAATTAATTTTTATTTTTAAGATATAAAAATTAAAATATAACAAATAAAGTAGTTCAAGAAAATTTATGTCCATATATCTCAAGGTCAAGAAGATAGGATTTGGGGATTATTCGACATCGAAAAAACTTTTTATAGTGAAATTTTGAGGTGTCCTAATTTGATTGTTTAGGGCCTCAACTGTATATAAACATTTTCCAAACCCAATCATGGCCCACCTACATAATCACATCTTAGTGCACGAAAATATTAAATAAGGCCAAGGTTTTATGGGAAAAAAGGTAAATTTTCTCCTCAAAACTCAAAAAACTATAGTTCTAGTGTCGAAAAACGTTCAGATTGATTATTTCTAGTGTCGAAAAACCTTCAGATTGATTATTTCAACCTTGTTCATTATGGTTGTAAAACAAAATTAAGATTAGAAGCCTTTAAAATAGTGTATATTATAACACATTATTTAAACCATCCATTTTGAAATGTTCATAGATCTGTCAAGATCTTCACATTTTTTTAAGCTACAAATTTCATAATTGGCGGCGGAAATAATTCTCCGAGCCATCATAAGAACAATTGAAAAAGATTTACTTGAGTTTTTTTTGTGCCGATTTGTAGAGTGAGAGAGAGGGAGTTCTAACGAGGGGAGAGAGTGGCATGGAGTGTCCAAATTCATGGAGTGAGCCAAACTACAAATTTCGACACTTGATTATGGAAAACCGAATCGAATTTTATCAAATTGTATTGTTAACTTGGTTCTTGATGCAATTTTACTTGATTCCTATTTTACGAAATAATCACTTCGATGTTAAGCTTGTATTGTTAATTCCTTAATTCCTATTATTATTTTACAACCTTTGAAGTATGCGGCTTTAAAGGGAAAGTTACTAAGTTCCCACTCTTAAAAAGGAATTTTTGGCCTCCATAAACTATAACATTTCATGTCGTCATCGTCAACATTAAAGATTTTTTTCAACTATTTGTGATCAGCTATACGAAGTCATTCTGCTCTTTCAAGGACAATACCCTCAGTGGAGCTATAAATCCCCTTTTTTTTTTTCAGTATTCTAACAATATTCTTTTGGACTTATCCCTTGCTCTTTTTTAGCCTTTCATTTGAACGAACTCGTACCTTCTAATAGGTGTTGTGTTGAGTATGTGTCACACACTGTCAGACCACATAAGTCTATTTTCTTTCATCTTATTGCTTACTTATGCCACACCTAACTAGAATATTTCATGTCAATATCTGGATTTTAATATAGTGATGAGACCGTCTGGAATAATGATCCTATGAGACCCTCCCACACCTATGTGTATAGGACCATAAAGGATCATCATTAAATTTAGCACAAATCTCTAGAAAAGTGATCATATGGGTGTGAGACTTGATTTTTATAGAGATCTATACCAAATTTAATGGTGATCCTTTGGAGTCCTACATATATGGGTATGAGAGGGTCTCATAAGGTCATTTCTCGACCACCTGACACTCACCTTGAGTGTTAAATCATAACATGCCTTCTTGGACTTCGGAAGTTGCCTGCAGTGTCTAAATTTTATAATAATGATAAGAAATGCTCGACACTCCCTATTCTCAAAGAGTTTCACATCATTTTGACACAAATTTGAGCAATTTTGAAATATCTAGGCTGCATAGATTCATGAGCTTAGCCCTAATTGTAGAACTAATGACTTGGAGAACAAGTCATTAATGCCTTATAAAAGGGAACCTCACGTGAAGGAGGTTAAAGTTTCTTTAGGAGAAACTGATTTTGATCATCTTAGTGAAAACCTTGTGATTGTAGTCTAAAAAAGTAAACTACATAAATCTCATATCCAGTGCGTGATTTATTTATTAGGTACGGTTTGTATAGAGCCAAAGCTCTAAACAATGAAAGTTTATTAGGTGCAGTTTGTATAGAGCCAAAGCTCTAAACAATGAAAGTAAAGTGCGTCTTCAAATAGTGTTGAGAAATGTTGTTTCACTATCGAAAATATTTGTGATAGCTTTAAAATAAAATTTCATCTTTAATTTTAAATTTAAAGCTTAAAAAATAGTGTAGATCGAGCATATCTATGAAAACTTGAAAATATTGAAAAATTAACGGTCCAAAAATACGTTACAAGATGCAGTATTTCAAAAACTTGAAATCCATTGTTTTTTTCATATCCATGCATCTTGATGTCGAGATGATCAATTCGAGAATATTTGGGCTATCAACCTCTTCTGGTGAAATTTTTGATATAGGCTCTAATTTGATTTTTTAGAGCCTCCACTCTATATAAACTTTTTTCTTATTTATTTATTTTATTTATTGCATGTTTTTCGCTCCAAACACACATTTTGGTGTTTTTGTCCCATAAATCGACTTCCATTACTCCAATATGCATCTTTGAGAGAGGGCTCTAACACGTGAGCCCAACAATAATATCCATGGGTAACTAACGAAAAAAAGACCTGCAACTTTTTTTGAGGACCCATATCTCATGCTGTCCCTTTCTCAAATCTCCATCACAGGACTAAGTCCCAAGTACAAACATATGCTGAGCCACCCAGAAAAGAAAAATCAAACAAATACAAATAATTAGTAATAACAATGCACTACAATTCTCTCTTGTGGTTTGCAGTAAAAAAGAAGAATTTGATTCACCCAAGAAGAAATTTTTTTCTTCTGAGTGTTCATTGTTTTTCTGTGAGGCATTTGTTCATGGAATGTGAGGAAGCAAATTTGAGAGATCGCTACATGAGTGTCTAAATTGTCCAAGAAACTAGTAATGTAGGATTCAAGCATTGGCTTGATTGGTTAAGATGTTGACAATTGCGGCACAGCATCCAAAGTTCGAATACTTCGTGGCAATATTACCAGACTGGCCCAAGTGGTGGATTCGGCCGAGTAACTTTGGCCTCACCCGTAGCCCCGAGGGTGTGTACAATTCGGAGTACCTAAATAAAAGTACGACAAATCCTATGAAATAGTAAATAAGATGGGAATATTGTGCAAATTCTTTGTTTATAATTTGGATGTGTTTGCTAAAGATTGGTGAATGTTTTTTGCCATATTCCTTATATATATAGTTGTCCCGAACCATAAATCAATTTTTTTCCTAATTGTTCTATACTTTTGTAAGCTTATGTGGACTTTTTAATGTTAATTTTGGTTTTACTTTACTTCTACTCCATTTATTTTATTTTTTATATTTTATATATATTTTAATTTTTCTAAGGCTTTTTTGATCCCAAAATGGAGGAGAATATTATCCACATTAGATAAGAGGTAATACTGTTCAAGATAAAATGGAGTAACAATGTCATTAATCGTCATGCCACTACTTCAGATCTAATTCCTGTCACTTACAAATGCATATTGTTACATTAACATGCAATATCTCTTTGTTTTGCTTTTTTTTTTTTTACATGTTAATGGCGGGAATTGAGGGTGGGACGTTATGTTGAGGCATCTGCTTGCCCCCGACCACCAATGCCCCAACCCCATTAGCATTAACAGACAATGTCTTTCTATACTGAAAATAATGCTATTTTTCCTTCAAAATCTACTACTGAAGGAAATCACAATTGATTGATGGATCCTTAAGAGGTGTTACAAATCGAGTTTACAAAAAACTACACTAAGAAGCTCTCTCCCAAGCAGTTGCTTGAAAGAGAAGCTCTTTTACTCAATCCACTGCTCAGACAAGATGCTCTCAAGCTCACTAGGGTGGCAAGGGATGACCAGAGCTCCTTTCTGGTTAAACCCAAACTCCTCTTCAGCTTGTTCCAAGAGTCTCATAAATGCTGGGTGTCTCAAACAGCCCAATGGCACTACAAACCTCTTAATGTCGCCTTTCTCGAAGGCAAGGACCACAAAGTGCCCCTCCTTCACATCTTTGGGGATAGCGATAGGTGTGCCTTTCGTTCGCGCACCTTTTGTTTGCAAGGATCCAAACTGTATCCTCTCAGCCAGATGCTTTAACACCATCATATTCCTTATCCCTGTCATCACCTTTATCTTCCTAGTCTTGGCCATTGAGGAGCATGCTCTACACTTGAGGAACTGGATCTTCGTCAAACATGTTTGTGCTCTATATAGAGGGAAAAGCATGTGCACTATGTACCATGTATGTGCACTATGTACCATGTGGTACAAGTGAAGCTTAGGTGTGTTTTAACCATTTAAGGGATAAGGGAGGGAAATATGAGGAGTGTCTAGAACTTATGCATGAAAGTGGTACTTCTCCTCATTAAATGTGGTGCTTGATAAGTCATTCTCCAAGCACTTGGCTTGGCCTGGGGTAGAGAACAAATAATGGGGGGTCCTAGACTGATGGGGTATCTTTCCATTTTGAGTTGTCTTTTCCCAATCCCTGTGTTGAAAGTTTAGGACTTTGGTTTAGTTTGGTTCTGTTTTTGTGATAAGTAGGGTCTGAAAACACGACCACCATGTAACTGAGGCTCAAATCCGTATTTATGAACAGAGATTGTGTAGCAAATTTGTTATCTCGTGTCCATTAAGTTAATGAGCATAAGTGCCCCATTACCTGATAGATAACATAAGAACATTTACCTTAGATACAACAATGTCAAAATCACTGGTAGCCATCAAATGTGAAATTAGATAGCTGTGGTTGTTTCATAAAGCTCGATAATTTTTTATTTTGGGGATTGAGTGTAGTCAATAGAACACCTCCATTAGTTAGCTTTCAAATCTCATAGCTAGTGGTGATTGGGACCTTCTAGTATGAAAGGTAACTGGTCTTATTGTATACTTTTCCAAATAGAATTTATCCCCTTTTTTTTCCCTTTTTTCACCTTATTACAAAAATAAGTATTGCAATTGTATGAAAAAAATAAACAAATTACCCTGTACTAGGCTGCAGTGTGAAAAATTGCTCTAAAAGTCAGTAACATTTGGATTACTATTGCAGCATGGTTGAGACCAAATTAATAGAAAAACACACTCTAAGAATGTGAGATGTATACTTTTAAGTCCCATAAAAATCATGCGTACATTTTCGAAATATTGAGCTGGGATCCTATGATAAATGCCATGTGAAGCTTTCAAGGTACGCTCACTCCATGCACATGCTACAAAGATAAGATGGCTGTTTGTTGCCCTTGAAAAGGACAGACAAGTGCATGTCTAGTCTAACTCAACATGTACGATGGGGTGCAAGCACAAAAAAGTGCAACAAGCATGTGAGAGTGGGGTCTAACCAGGATATTTTTGTTTTTTTTTCACCATCTCTGTTTTCCTATTCCAATTTTGCAATTTCTCTATTGGGAGAAATTACAGTAATGAACCCTCTATTCAATGTCTTGTTATCAAGAGATTCGATACAATAGTCCCAACTATTTTTCTGATTGGATCTTTGGTTAAAGTAAAAGTTATTTAACGTATAGATTCGAATTTGTACTTCATTTAAACATCATATGAATTGCATTAAATAAATGGGTGAAGATTTAATAGCTGCTTGGATCTTTTCTTCTTGGTAGTTAAGCTATAGGAATGAGACTTGAGATATAGCTTTGCTCATGTCAACTGCTAACTACTTAAGTTCATCCAATCGGCTATCCCAAAATTACACTGAAATTTCATGAAGAAGTCAATGTGGTTAGAAGACACTTTGAAATATGTTCAATTCTCATATATGCTAGGGCTCAAGGAAATCCTATGGCTCAAAGTAGCAGCCTTGCATACAGATTAATAGGAAATCCTAAAGCTCAAGGAGGCAGTTTGATCATTTCAATAAAATTAGGAAAACTTTTGGTTGAGAATCACCCTTTTGGATTGATGAGAAAGAGGCTTATGTGTTTATGTTGAGGTCACTTATAGACATACGTGCTTCTTGTTCTCAGTCACTCAATTTGAGTAAGTGGTTGCGATGGCTTTAGTCACAATGTCACGAGTTAGCATCTGATCTTGATCAGATTTCTCGAAGCATGTTATTTTCGTCAATTTTTTGAAATAATCCCTGTAAGTAGTTGTGCATTTTGGTGAAATTTTTATTGAAATAGTGTGTCTTTTGTCATTGGTTGTGGTCGTATGATACAACTCAAGTTCATGTTCAATGTGATTTATATTGAAGTATTTGATGTGAAATAATGTTAAGCTTGGCATTATGATTGAAACTATCTAACCATCCATGTGGGTGGGGCCACATGCAAAGGTCTCTTATTGAAGTAGATTAAGACCACCAGTTAGTATTAGGTAGATTAAGACCACCAGTTAGTATTAGGTAGATTAAGACCACCAGTTAGCACTTATGCTTTGATTTAAAAAAAAAAGGCCACCAGTTAGCATTAGCAGTGGTAGCTAGCTTATTAGTTCATCCAAGAGATTCTTGCCCTAAAATTGTTTAGTCATTCTTGACTCTCACACATACTAGAGGGGTTCGGCTGGTGGGAGCACCAAAAGATTAAAGGACTTTGGTCTAAGGACCAACTTGGAATTAATGGAAATGTTAGATTTTTGTCTTTAGGTTTAATATAGGGGTGTGGTTTGTATAAGGTCGAGGCCCTAAACAATCAAAAGTAAGGTGCATCTTCACTAGTGCAGAAATATGTTGTTTTATGTTGTTTCAGTATCAAAATCTTTATGATGACCTAAAATTTTATTTTTATATTTAATTATCGAATTTAAATATTCAAAAATAGTGTAGACCGAGCATATCTATGAACAGTTTGAAGACTTGAAAATTGGTGGTCTAGATAACACATTACAAAATGCACTATTTCCTATTCTTGAAATCTATTTTTTCTCATCTCCATAAATCTTTAGTTTAAGATGATTGAATTGAGGGTTTCTTAGCATTGAAACCACCTCTTCTTGTGAATTTTTAAGGCACACCTTAATTTAATTGTTTAGGGCCTCACCCTTATATTAACTTTTTCCATAATCTGTTAGCGATATTTCCTAATTTTTTTGTTGAATTTTACGATTTAGTTATGGGTGTGCTTTCTATAAGGCAGAGGCCCTAAACAATCAAAGTAAGGTGCACTTTTAAATAGTGTTGAAAGATGTCATCTCAGTATCAAAATTCTTTGTAATGGCCTGAAATTTATTTTTATATCTAGTTATAAATTTAAAGCTTCAAAAATAGTGTAGATCAAGCAGATCTATGAACACTTGAAAATTGACGGTCTAGAAAATCCATTACATGATGGCTATTTCCAAGACTTAAAATCCATTTCTTCTCATGTCCATACATCTTAAGGTCGAGATGATCAATTAGAGGATTTTTGGACATAAAAACGACCTCTTTGAGTGAATTTTTGAAGTGCTCCTTAATTTGATTGTTTAGGGCCTCACCCTTATATAAATTGTTTCCTTTAGTTATACAAGCAACGAGTAAGTTGATAACTTGTGCTATCTTCATGAGGTATCAAATATTTGAATGTAGTAACTAGAAATAGGATAAAATTGGACTTAATTGGATCACTTACGTTTTAGTAAAGGATGTGGTTTCTATAAGATTGCAACCTTAAACAATCCAATTAGGGTGCACCTCCAAATTTGATCATAACGTATAATTGAAAAAATTCTTAGGATTATCTCAAAATCTATTTTTATATGTAATTATAAAATATTTAAAGTCCAAAAATGGTTAACATCAACCAGATCTATAAACATATGAAAATCTTAAAAATGAATGGCCTAAATAATGTATTGCAAGATGCACTATTTTTAAGACTCAAAATCTTTTTTTTCTTTCGTATTCATACATCTCGATGTTGATATGATCAATTAGAGGTTTTTTCAACATTAAAACAATATTTTTCGATGGAATTTTTAGGTGCATCAACCCTATATAAATTGTTTCCTTTAGTAAATTACCTTGATATCTTTCCTTAGATAGGCCTCACTGGTTTTAAAAAATAGACGGTTGATCTGAAATGCCGATCAGGATTTCCAATTCAGTTTGGCAAATTAGTAATCTGGATGAACGAATCGGTCATTAAAACAAATTTGAAAAAAAAGAAAAGTGGGGCGGGTTTTTGGCCGGTTCTCTTACAAAACCGTTAGACCATACCAGTTCATGGGGGGAACCGGCCTATTTAGCAAGAACCGGTTCATCCCTGATAATTTCCAATCCAAATTCAGCAATTCCGATCCTGACCGGCGTGTTTTTAAACCTCGAGTGCTTGCAAGCTTTTTCAATACAACTGAAGAAGTCATGAGAGATGATGCAAAACCATGAGTTCGCTTCTTTCCAATAAGGTGCATCGTGTGAAAATTTTCTCTCAAAGACTTTGGTGGTCTATATCCCATTGCTTCCTTCTTGCATGCTTCCATTATTTGCAGGAAGTTTATGTGTTCGTTTTGCAGAAGTTTCAAGTGCGGTACTCGGATCAACAAGAGCATCAAGCAAAAAAAGATTGTTGGATGCTTTTGTAATGTGTGTGTGCTATTCGTATAGCGCAAGTCTACAAGTGGTATCAGAGCCGTTTCACCCTCCTTGTAGAGAAAATGCTCATTCTCTAAGCTCTCGTAAAAGAGAATGGGGTTTTTTCCATGCTTCTTCAACACATATTCCAGTTCTTCTTGTTTCTGACAAGAACAATAAAGTTCATTCATCAAAGGAAAAAGTTTATATAAGGTTGCAACTTTAAAATGTAGAGTTAAGGTGTACGTAACAAATTCATCATAAGAGATTGGTTGCTGTCGGAAAACTCTTTAATTGATTATCTTAACATCGAGATATATGAATATGAAAAAAAAAAAAGATTTCACATCCTAAAAATAGTGTTTCTTATAACACATTATCTAGACCATCCATTTTCAAGTGTTTATAGATCTATCTGATCTCAGGCCATCCTAATAATTTTTTACACCAAAAATTATATTTATGATAATATTTGGAGGTGCGCCTTAATTTGATTGTTTAAGGTTGCAGCCTATAATATAGAAGGTCTATATTGTAATATGTATATCCGATAGATGCAATATCTTGTATTTATGGTAAGTCTGGGCATATTATAGGATTTATTTCTAGTATTGTCATCGGGTAATTTGTCTATAAAAAACAAGGTTGTAGATGCACATGTTTAACGAACATGGAGTCTCTTCAGAGATATACGATACTCTTCACAATCTATCACAGCCAGGTTCATATTTCTCATGTCTATTCCTAGTCCCTCAAGCTTTATCAATGATTTTCAAGATGGGTCCCTCAAGCTTTATCTAGGATTTTCAAGATGAGTCTGTTGTTCACCCATTGAGTACAATTTCTATCGAGCCATGTTTCAACTCTCTGCCTAACTGGTGCTGCACCCTACTTGGCTCAGATCCACTATCAAATCGTTTCACAACAATAGGTTTTCAAAGCCCTCTATCCACCGTCCTTTATCTATGCCTGAGATTGATCGCAGAAACGTTGTTGATCGACTTGTGAGGCTATCTTGTTTTGTCATTGCCGCAACATACGACCCAAAGGTTATACTATCAGTTAACGTGGATGAATCAAAAGGCACGAGGTTTGATTTTGTTTTTCTCTCTCTTCGGCCAAAGATTACAGGCTACTGAACGACGGACATTTGCTCGATTTGTTGTTTGGACTATTTTGAAAGCAAATACTTAACCTCTCTTATTTTGGGTGGTTAGTTATCCATGTCGGTTGTTGCAACCAAAAGATTTTCCGAGTGTTTTGCACTATCAATCTGTATTGAAATGGTTTGGGTTTTAACTTGGTTTGGGATCCTTTGAGGTTTGGGTAATGTGGCACTGCCTTTCCTTGGCCGGTTCCGATCCAATTCACCAATTTTTTAAACATTAGTGCCGGTTGAAATTAAGAAGTTTGAGAAGCCGTCTTTCGAAGACTTTCACAGTATGTTTTGGTAATTTCAGCAATATGATGTATACTTCATTTTGTATATTTTGAACCAGTAATGCTTTAAATAAATTGTAACGACTTTTGATATTGAATGAATAAAATGGTTGTACTTTTGATTTGATTATTATTTGATGAATGGATTTATTCTAGTTTTCTTTCGTGGTTTGTTTTCGATTTCGTGTTTTTATGCGTTGAGCTACTCCCACCTGTATTTTCATGCGTTGAACCACTCCTACCTGAATGACATTCGGAGGTCGCGATCCCGCATTTTAGCTGCTCAGAACAGGATCGTCATAGTTATGGTATCAAAGCTTTCACATCTTTTAGTACCCCTTTTGGATGCCATTGGTGGTCATAAAACATGATTAGTTTTAGTTTCTTTTTAGGGCATTCGTGAAAAGAAAGCCAGTCTTCAAGTACCAACAATCAAGAAACTAGATATGCAAAGATACTAGATATTTTTCAGGTCCCAATATATAAAATATATTTAACTATTCTAAATAATAATTAAGTATATATATTTTTTAATTTTTGGATCAGGTCCCATCTGGTCCAAGTCCCACAGTATATTTTCAGGTCCAGGTCCAACCGGACCCAGACCTCCGTTCAGTATAGTACCTCTTTGTTTAAAAGGCATGATATGGATGTGTGTTCTTAGAGGTCACAACATTCTAGTTTTTCCCCACTGATTCACCCCAAAATGGAAAACCATTTTAGTTTTCAATATTTTGTACACTGAACCAAATCACCATGGTCATTCAGAGAAACAAAAGTTCAGGCCCACTGTTTGAAAAATCAAACCGGCTTTGGTGTTGAGGCCCAATGTTTGAAAAATCAAACCAGCTTTGGAAACCAACCAAGGGCCGGATCCGATTAACGGGTAAACCGGCTAGTTCAACCTACCTAACCAAGCTGGTCCCAATTGGTTTAACAAGAGTTAAAAAAAATACGAAAAAAATGAAAAGCATATTTAAAGCATGATTAAACAAAGTACCTCCAAATGAAATTGAAAAGTAGTTAAAAAATAAATTTTAAAAAATAGATTTGTGTCCAAGGGTATTTTTGAAATTTTTCAAAAATGGGAAAAATATAAAAATAAGTATCCAAAACACTTTCCAATATTTGCCAGAATGATAAAAGCATTAAAAACCACATGGAAAGCAAATCCCTTATTTTTGGGGATTTTATATTTTTTTTCTGAATATTTTTTAGAATATTCGGTCGAACCACCAAATCCAACCAAAACCAAATCGACTAGTGCCTGGTTCTGATTTGACCGGCCGGTTACAAGTTGGACCGGCTGAGTTTGCAAACACTGTTAAGGCCACTTTGAAAATTAGAGTCATTCCAAACAACAAGTTATTATCTGCACACCATTAAATGTCGTAGTACCCAACCCTATGTATGAGGTAATCAATACTTCAACAAACACATAAGAAACAAGATAGTTGGTTGCTGCTAGAGTCATTTAAACTAGAACAATAAAGCAATACATATTTAGAGATCGGATGGTATGAAGAAATTTGTTTTAGTAGATCTAAAAGTGCATGTGTGGCCAAAATTTGTTTTAATAGATCTAAAAGTGCATATGTGTGGCTATAATTCAATTATTAGGCATCGCAAGTGAGTGAGTACAGAATCGAATGGAAATTTAAGTTTCGAAAAAAGTCTTTTGCGAGTCGGCTAATTCATGCATTCCCTGGTTTTTGCAAAGGGTCGAGGGCCTGAAATACATTCCACAAATTATAGAAGTCCACTTCCACCTAATATCCATGATTTCGGAGCTCCAAAAACAGTAGAGATCTGGTGATCTTTGAAGAATTAAAATGAACAGTCTAAAAGAAAATTACAAACTAAACCATTAAGGCTCAAAATTTATTTTTTCTTTTTCTTCAAATTCATGATCTTGGTGGTCTAGATGATATACCTATATAATGGATCCAAAATCCATCTTGTAGATGGACTTTGGAAGGACAGCCCGAAAGTAAGAGCTGAGTAGACATGCTCACCTAAACCCTACCCTTTAACTTTTGATGTAATTTGGGCATCCCTTCTTTTTTGTTGGCTAAGAACACTGACATGTTATACAACATTTGGATAACTCATTGACGGCTGACATGCCATTAATTGTCATCTTTACAATCACATGTTTGTGTAGTAAAGTAACACAAGCATCCTTACATTGACACAAATGGCAGTGCTTCGAGCATTGTGGAACACCATCCATGTTCGAGCATTCCTTGGTATAATGCATCAAAATCGCTCATAATTGAGGTTATCTGACTGCAAACGACATATGAATATCAAAGAAAATATGGTTATCCCAAAAAAGATATCATGCTTCAAACAGGAAATTTTTTTCACAAGATAACATAGTGATGTAAAAAGATCAATGACAATACCTTGATAAGCATTTCTGTGGGAAGCCATGCAGGTGCAGTGGGGATCCCAACCCACGCAATCTAAAAGAAACACAATATTTGAATAGGGAAGTTCTTATAAATGCAATAAGTAAACCATAATCTAATGGATTGGGGAACCATTGCCTAATAGAATCATCACCATCCAATGAAATAATGGATAGTCAAGGCCATGGAGTAGGAGCCACTACCAAGGTCATGTCCTGATTTAATGGCTACCATTATACCGTCATCACCTTCCATCACTTCAAAAATGGAGATTATCCCAATAGAAATATAATTAAACTGCCAGACCTACAATTTGGCTCTTGCAACCTGATCAAGGGCTTGGTGCATGAAGCTCCCTTGGAGTGGCCAACAAATGATAAAATAACCCACCAGCCAATGGAAGTCCAAAAGGACCTGCAAGTCCTGTACAGACTAGTGATACTAGACAAGATTTAGTTATCAGGTTTGGTGGTCAAATTTTTTAAGCCAACAAACCTTTATGAGGGGAGGTACATAAGCCCTGGGCCTACTTACAGACAGCAGCAGACAAGGTTGGTGCGTTGTGTGGTTCAAGGGGGCTCAATCTCATCATTACACATGCACAAAACTGGGCGGGTGAGATTGATGGTGCATTAAGTGAGGCTAAGCTAGGCAGCGCATTGGCTGTAACAGCCAAGTTCAAAATTAGAATAATATAATCAGTCATTGCGTTTATGGGCTAGATAGTGGGACTTGTCCGGGTCATTGACCATGAGTGGGTGTAACGGCACACAAGCATGCCATGCATGAGTTAAGGTTGGCTGCTGGGGGCCCGTGTATTTCAAATTCAAATTCCTGTAACTGATCTGGGTTTTATATCAACCTTCAGCCCGAATCCTCGACAGGCATTTGGTGCAGTATACGCGCAATTGTGCAGAACAACAAAATTTGGCCAGAGCCCTTGACCTTTTTTTCTCCCTTTGTATGTGTTTTGGTGCATTTGAGTTCGCCAAACTTAATCCCTCAGCAGCCAAACTTAGAAGCCAAGGTCGTGCGATTAAAATTAAATTATAGAAAAATTTAGCCCTTCAACATATATCATGGCACATAGGATTATCGTGCACTTAACTTTTATATATGCTCATTGGGCTATTAGGCTATAGAAACTTGCCCAGATGTATAATTTGCCCTGATTGACTATTACAAAGGAAATTATTACAAGAAAATAGTGAAAGTAAATGACTATGTGGAGATCACAAATGAGACTTCTTAATGTAAACCTTGTTCGAGAATAATTCCTCATTCATCATTCATCATCCAAACTTTATCCCAGCTATTTGGGGTCAGTTACATAAATCATGTACTGTCATTCCATTCTAGCAAGGGCCATAATATCAATAAGACTATAAGTCACTATATCTCTTCTCACTACTTCCATCCATGTTCTTTTGGCCTTCTTCTTACCCTTTTAGAGCCTCCACTTGAACCAAATCGTCCTTCTTAACCGGTGATGTTCCAGGTTGACACCATACATGGTCAAACCACCTAAGTCTACTTTCTTCATCTCAACATCTAAGTTCTCTCTGATGTATTTATTCTGAATTCTATTCCTTCATGTTTGCTACTCATCCATCACAAATACACTCATTCTATAGATTTGTCATTTCTTGACTGCCTCACATTCTCTCCCATAAATAGCAGGTCTTATAGCCGTCCTATAAACCTTCCCCTTTAGTTCCATTGATATATGTTACAATCACATAAGAGTCTCGAAGCACACATCCACTTCGTCCATCCAGCTCTAATTCTATGCACAACCTCTTCCTTAATTTCTCCATTTTCATATCGTAAAATAATCTCTTTTAGGTACTTCTTGATATCAATCTTAACTAATTCCTCATTTTTTACACCTATTATTAATAAATTTTGCATTCCACATATGGAATAATTCCTCATGTGAGGAGATACGTGGCCACCCCATAAAAAGGTATTGACCAAGAATGTCTTCCAGGCACAAGAAAAAAGGCTCCTCCATTCAATGGGGAGGTTAAAAGACCTCTCTACATGGATTCTTCTCAAGAAATTCCCAATCAGATTCTGACTTTATTTGAAAAAGCACAACTCAATTTTACTACCATTTCTTTTAAATATTGCTTGAAGTTATATAATATTATCATAGTTGAGTTTACAGTTTAAAGTTTCAGTTTGTTTCCAAATTTGGCTGATACAAGGACATCAATCAGATTAACCAGCAAATTGATTTACTGGCATTTACTTCAGAAATTTTATTAAATGCACATACAGAAACAAGATCAAGCCAATCATAATAAGCTCATAAGATAAACAGGACAGATGAAAGAATAACAAGGAAAGCAAGTGAAGAAAAAGAGATTGCGACTAACCAGAGCATATTCTCCAGTCTCAAAAATTCGGATGTCCAAGACCTACGAGAATCCATCATTCAATTACGGAGTACCGATATAATTAAGAAGCATAGAAGTAAAAAACAGTGGGGAAACGAAGCAAGATACGAAAATAAAAGATAATTCAAAAGGAAAGGGTGGAAAAGAGTTGGGAGTGATCATTCTATTAAGCAACCAATGGAAACATCACAAAGCTACTTGGGTTTGCAGGGACTTAGTTTTCTTAAATGCCAAACATATGAGCATTTGAACTAAAGAAACTCCAATACCGCCATATCTAACATTCATGCTCTTAAAAATAAAATGAAGTAAACATCGATTCATTAAAATGAAGAGGTTGACAGGCTAAACTAGAATATCAATTACTATACCTCACCACGGTCTTCATAGATGTAGTCCAAGCCCTTATAGTAAGGGGGATGCCCAACTGAGAGATACTGAAACCAACATAACGGAGACAACTGATAATAAGCAAAGAGCAAGACAGAGTGCGACTAAATATAGCAGATGTGTGTGAACCATCAAAAGGTTTAAAATAGATGCGCAAAGTATTTCATATGTACTTATGCTTTATGCACCCATCACCCATTGTCATGTAATTATTATGTGAAAAACTCCTATGTATTATACCTAAACTAGTCTATTTCCTGTCTAGAGTCAATGGTAGCCTCTATTCATACATGGATAGGCCAATCTCATGTTCATGGCCTCAGTTCTACAACTATCACAGATTCAATTTTTTTATCATGGCATAAAGTTACTATCACACACAACGAATACCATTGTTAACAATTGAGAATTATGCTTTCTGAGTATAGCTTGATTATGGGCAACTTAGAGCGCCTAAAACTTGAACAGATAAACAAGTATCATTATGTATGAAATAAGTCTTGAGTCTTCTTTAGTTACTTTTGTGATGTCTATGTGAATCCCAACCCTAGCACAACACTCACAAAAGAAATTGTTCCTTTCTTCCAATCAAAACCCCGGCAACTATTTTGAAACTTGATGGTCATCTCAAGATTGGTGGAGCATAATTAACAGAAAGAACTAGAGAAGCAACAATTGAGCTGTAAAACATGCTAGAAAGAGAATTTCTTTTTATGTTATAGAAGAATGTACAACCTTTCCAAATCCCTCACCACTATGTGCACGTACGTAATACTTCTTATAAGTGAGCACTCAACATTTCATTACACTCACATGAAAGCGAGAAATTTTGATAATTATCTCCAATTCAAGTTTTCAAATTTCACAAGTACTTCCATTTCTAGAACATACATATTACTGAAATCAAAAAGCTGATTTGTTAAGTTAATATGTTGGCAATGTGCAAGAATTCCTAGTTTCTTTCCCATTTCATTCCCTCGACCTTCACCAATTGACATATTGTTAAAGTTCAATCTCTTAATCCTCTTGCACTTTCAATTCACATCTCTACTCTTTCAATCATTAACACTTCAAAAGTCCAGGATTAAAGTAAACCTCCCATAACTTCAACTTGTTTGCCTTTCCTTGTGTGTGCATACCCCAAAGGAAGAAACTCTCCTTGTTGAGCCTTTTTTTTTTCCATTGAACAGTCAGCTCTATTTCATTCTTTCCATGAACCCTTTCTCCATTGTGTTCCACGGCATTTGTCTTAACACGTTTGAGATATAAGAAATAGAAACCCAAGAGGTCTAATAAAAATGATGGGGGAAAATTTCAAATGGAAAAAGTCTACTTGAGCAAGAGAAGCAATCTAACAAGGTAAGTTCAGGATATGGCTCTGGTTGGCCCAAGTTAGATCATACTCACTGTCATCCTAGTAGAATTGGGTTACACTCTTTTCAGGCCCTATGGGCCACAACAAACCAAAGAGTATATGCATGTTTTTAAAGGAGGCTATTTCAGCCTAATCCGGTTAAAGACAAGGGGCCTGAGGGTGAGGCCCAGAACACCCTCGTTGTCTGCAGTGTTACAGAGGCACTCCATGTTTTCCCTTGTTTCACGTGTTGTCATGTGTCGACACTTAGTCACTTCTTGACACGCCCAGACCGCCCTTAACATGCTGGTCATACATGTCTGAAAATTTTTGTTCCAACACCGCGTGTTAACACCAATTTAGAATGTGTGTGATATTTATACAGGCAGTGTCGCTAATTTATTTTTCACAAAAAAACATCCATTCATGGGGATTGAAACAACCATATAAGGTAATGGCAGAAGCACTACCCACAGGCTAGCCAGAGGGTCAGACCCAGACCAGTTGTTTCTAGCTTGGTTCCAGGCCAGGCCCTTTCTCGTGTTTCTGGGCAAGCCAGGCGGAGCCAGGCCCACCCCCCTCTGCAGGCCTAATGTTTTATAAACCTCCACCATATTAATTGTTTCTAGTTTAATTATTTATGACTCAAAATCACTGTTTCAAACTTTAAAACCAGAAGATGATGCAAGCACCGAACTCAAGAACCGATGGAGCAAACAAAATACAACTAAATTTACAATAACCAATTCAAAATATCAATATGCATCAAACTTGAAACCTCCACTAAACAAATACTGGAAATTTTGCAGAAAGGGTAAAAGACAAAGAATTCACACCAATTAAAAGTGCATCATCAGCCTTACATTAACGCTGTTGAGATACTTCTCCTTGTCCACCCTCACAATTTGCCCCTTCTTCACTGACCCACAACGAGCAAGAAAATTTTCTGAACTACATACAAAACCATAGAGCAACAAAGAAAGCAACAAGTAATCAAGATAGAGAGAGAGAGAGAGTTAAAGAGAGAAACTGACTGGAATATTGGGGTTTCTTAGGCTTCGGGGGAGCTTTGGCCACTTCTTCACTTTCAGTCTGAACCATCTTCTCCTTTTCTGCTTCTGGGTTCGCTGTCGCTTTTACTAAGAAAAATTCATTGGGTTTTCTTCTTCTGAGTGATGGCAAGTTGAATGAAGTCAATTGGGGTGAGGGAGATGCAGAGAAGGCCGCCATGGTTGGTGGGCTTTGAGAAGAGAGTGCAAGTGTGGCGGTGGCCATGGATTAGCTTCTGAAACTCATCAAGGGGGAGAGAGATTTGGATTTGGAATTGGCGGCAGTTTGATGAGTTGGCTGGGATAACGCGTTCATTCTGTGCCAGATGGACTGAGTAACAAGCTAGCCATTAACGGATCAGAGAAAAGGGAGATATGCTGTGATTGACATGACCATGAAAAATATTATGGCCATGAGTTCTTATCACTATCCAATCAATGGGTGGACTGTGATGGAAAGAGATTAGACCCATGTTCTTGTGAGCCCTTTTTTAAACGATCACCTTCTTGTGTGTCTCTCTTATGGAGAGAGTGGAGCTTGCACTGGGATCATGTTATACTGTTATGGGTCTGGTCGTATCTTTTTGATGATGATGCTCATGGCCATTAGAGTATGTATTTTGGCTTGGTGGTCTCGGCCTAGAGAGATGCGAGGTGTATAAGGTTCACTTCATATTCTCTCTCCTATCCAACTGTCTAAATAGATGGCTTAGATGACCCAATCACAATGCCATCCTCTATACTATTTTATTTTTATTTTTTATTTTTTATACAAAATATTTTTAAATGTCATCCTCTATACTATTTTATTTTTATTTTTTATACAAAACATTTTTTTACCAAATTTTGGATGTCCAATCCTCTTTTGAATTCACTCCGATAAAAAAATATAAAACAAATATTATCAATAAAATAAAATAATTAAAATACCCTTGAAAGTTTCAAAGGTACTTTAGTCATTGTATTTTATCAAAAATATTTTTTAATATTTTATTTAGGTACGCCCTATTAAAGTGATGGCACATACCAAATTTCCTATTCATATAATCAGTGTAAAAAAAAAATTAAAAAAATTAAAAAAATTACTCTGATGCATCGGATCTATATTAAATAGTTAATAGCTCATTTGATCTAAATTAGACAGTTGGATGAAAATGGGATATTTTTTTATGATGTAAAGGAAAGCATTAAAAACCTTTCTTTTATTTTTTGGGGGAGGGGATAAAATATTATTAATAGGTCAAAATATCTTCATTACCATTTGAGGGTATACTCGTATTTCTTTTTTTTTTTCATTTTACTTAGCTACTTCTTTCCAAAAAAAATTAACAATACCTAAATTACCCTTGTTCAATATTTAAAATGGGGAACAATGAGGGTCATTTCAACAATTTGACCCTAAAGCGCCCTCATCCAAATGAACAAAATACACCCGGTTGTTTTGCATTACAAATAAGGAATACATTATTTAATATTTGTAATGTGGAATAATTAGACGTATTTTTGTAAATTGATATATGTAAAGTAAAAATAACAAAAATACCCCTAATTGTTCTACATTATTAATATTAAATATGCGCTCTTTACTTATAATGCATAATAACAAAGATCATTTTTGTCATTTAGTTGATGCCTCTTAAAATTCAAATTATAAAAATACCCAATTTTATCAAAAATATTTTTTTTATTCATCATTTTCCTATATATATATATATATATATATATATATTATGTTTTTCTTTTTGTGAGTCAGTGGAGAAAGAGGGCCCCTACCCTTGGTAGGAATTGAGCTTAAGATGTGGTAGTATTGCAAATCGTCAAGCACTATCCAATTAGATAGTCCTTGAGTAACGAATCATTTTTTTTGGTTTTGGGGGAGTCAATGGGGAGAGGGCCCCTACTCTTAGTATGAATTGAGCCTGGGATATAGCATTGCAAATTATTAAGCCCTAACCAATTAACCTGGAATGTTTTTCTAACAATTATATAGTCCCTCGGTTGCAAATTGTGCACTTCCTCCTTAAGACAAAACCATGTGAAGGACTATTTTGATCAGTGTTGAAAATCAAACCGGAATGGTTAACCGAACATGGGCCTAGAAGTGCTAATTGATAAACTGGTCAATTCAACCATTCTAACCGGACAAGTCTCGGTCAGTAAAAAAAAGTGTTAAAAAAATACAAAAATTCTACTAAAATATGAAAAATATATTTAAATAATGATTAAACAAAACACATCCAAATGAAGTTGAAAAATTAATGAAAAAAAATGAATTTTAAATAATCGATTTGTGACTAGGGATATTTTTGAATTTTTTAAAAAAGGTGGAAAAACGTAAAAATACATATTAATGGCCAAAAAAGTTCCATTTTTTCTATAATTATGAAAACATTAAAAATACATTACAAACAAAATCTCTTATTTTTTTAGATTTTATACAATTTTAAAAAAAATTAAAAAAAAAATACCCTGTAAATCACCAAAACCAATGGAAACCGGAATTGGCCGGTTCCAATCTAACTGGATGGTTACCGGTTAGATTGTGCGATTCCAACAATGATTTTGATACACCTAGAAGTTGGGGTATGTCTTTCTCAACAAGACTCCTATCCTACCAAACGAAAAAAAAAACATTGGAGGGGGTGGTTTGTATAACGCTAAGGCTAAACAATCAAAACAATCAAAGTAAGGCATGCCTTCAAATAGAATCGAAAAATGTTATTTCAGTACTGGAAATCTTTAGGATGTCCTAAAAGTTTGTTTTCATCTCTAATTATAAAACTTAGTACTTTAAAAGCAGTACCTATCGAGCATATATATGCACACTTGAAAATCTTGAAAATTGACTGTTCAAAAAATACATTACAAGATGCACTATTTTCAAGACTTGAAATCTATATTTTCTAATATCCATAAATCTTGAGGTCAAGATGATCGATTTGACGATTTTTTGGCATTGAAACAACCTCTTCTAGAGAATATTTAAAGTGCGCCTTAATTTGATTGTTTAGGGCCTAAACTTTTATTAACCTTGGATACCTAATTCATGACTTCCTAGAAGTTCACTTCTTAGAAATGATTTGAAATCATTTATATAGTGATTCCGGTAATCCAAATTTAGTGTCAAACATATCTTACAGAGTGTTGTGCTAGTACCTTGAGATTTGATTATGTGGGTGATAGAAAAGAGATGAATTTTCAAACACTACATAGCCTTGGTGAGAGATATATACGATGGAGTGCTAACTAGTGTGTGAACAACTAGTGGAGAGACGAGTGAGTTTTCATTGACAATAGGGTTAGCATTGAGCCCTTACCTCTTTGTCTTAATTATAGACGACTTAATTAGGCACCAACAAGATGAGGTTCCGTGATGCATGTTGTTCGTAGATAACATAGTTTTGATCAAGGAGACGCGAAACAACATCAACACAAAGTTAGAACTTTGGAGGCATACTCTAGAATCTAAAAGTCTTAAAATTAACCGAACTAAGATAACGTATATAGCTTGCAAGTTTAGTAATAGCATGAGTAAAGAAGAGGAAGTAATCAAGATACGCCAAGGAATTACCAAAAAGAACGCACTTTCGATATATTTGATAATCTAAGAAAATAGCGAGATTGAAGAACATGTCGCACATAGAATTAAAGCTGGGTAAACGAAGTCAAGATATACAACCAAAATTTTATGTGATTGCTGCATACCAATGAAGCTGGAGAGTAAGTTCTATAAGACAAATATGAGACCAACTTTGTTCTATGCGGTAGAATGTTGGACGGTCAAAAAACAATATACTCATAGAATGATTGTCCTGGAGATGAGGAAGTTGAGATGGATGAGTGGCAAGACGAGAAAGGATGAATTCAAAATGTATACATTTGGAAAAATTTAGCTGTGGCACCAATAGGCGATATGATGAGAGATAATAGACTTAGGTTTGCTGGCCATGTGTGGCGCAACCCAACATAGCACATATTAAGAAGTACGAGTTAGTTCAAGTGGAAAGCTAAAAAATGATAAGGGGTTGGCCCAAAAAGATATGGTTAGAAGTAGTGAGAAAAGATAAAGGGATCATTGGCTTCCCTGAGGATATGGTCCCTAATATAGCAAACTGAAAGACCAAGACTTGTGTAGCCGACTCCAATTAATTTAAAAAGTACTTTGACAATGATGATGTTGTATTCTGTCTTCTTTTTGTGTTTTTTTATTATTCTCAAAATACCCTTGGTTAGTAATTATTAGTTCAGAACTGCTTATTGTAGAGAATTAAAGCAATCGGTAAATAAGAATTCTTGTCCATTTTGATCTCTTATAAAGAGTACACACAAAAGTGATATGAAACTATTAGTTCCAAACTACTTACTGTAAGAAATCAAAGGGATCCAAAACTAAGAGTTCTAGACCACTTTGACTCCTTACAAAAGAGTATAGATCAAAGCAATATGGAACTAACAATTCCTGATGGGGGATAATTTAGGAAAAATAAAAAATAAAAAAAGGGATATGAACATAAAATATAAAATATGTAAAATAATTTTTTAAATACCTCTAAGCATAGGGGATAAGCATATTTTGGTTGGTGTGAACGTGGAAAAAATTTTGCTTTATTTTGTTCAAAATATTCAAAGGATATTTTTCATTTTTAAGTTAAAAAGTACCTATAAGGCCATCAAGAAGCCATTTATAGGAATCAATCTTGGGCCTGATTGGTTAAGATCTTGATAATTGCAACATGACATTCCATGTTTAAATCCTACCTCTGAACTACCTCCAAGAAAATAAAAAAAGGTCATGCAATATAATACTAAAATTTGACAATAATACACAATTTGTTAATCATTTTTCTTCAATATTAATTGTTTGTTGGTGGCCTGATAAAAGCATAATCATGACCAATAAACTAGGCCAATTTGGATAGTCCTATATTTCTATTATGAAAAGGTATACAAAGAGACGATTTACTTTTAGACACATAAGTCTAGGAATAATTGTGACATGCTTCTATAATTAATTAGTTATTCTTTGACATGGGAATTTCTATGTTTCTCTCTTTCAAACAGGCAGCATAGTGTTTTACATCATGATAAGCATAAGAAAGAAGCAGCCTTTATCCATGACTAGCAGGGTAGGCAAAACCTCTCTTTTTTTAATCATGAATGGGGGAGAAAAAACCTGAGTACTCCTTAATAAATGGTTAGTCCAATCTTTGGCCTTAGTGACTGTTTTTCTTAAATCTCATAGAGTGTATACATGAATATAAATATACCAAATTTTAAATTAAAAAAATAAAAAAAATTGGGGCAAGATGTTGAGGTAATGCAGAGGTTGGTGAAGATGATGAGGGGATAGATGAGCCCATACATGCAAGGACGACTCGAGGGGGTGACAGGAGCTCCAGGGAAATATCCTTAGCTAAGAAGGGGAGAAAGGAAAAGAAAACTATAATCGTGTCAATCGCTGTGTCCCTGAATATACATGGAGAAGCAATGGAAAGTTGAGGTGAGGAGAGACATGTATCCGAGGCTAATATGATGAGCTAGGCAAGGTCCAAAAATTGATGCAAATTTGAAATTAACCATATTTCAGTGACTCGATTTTACAGCAGCTTTGTGAGAAATCTTATTCGCTATGAGCGCGGA